GAAGAGTGGCAACAGCATATCGCTTTTGAAGGTAGATCTGATGGCTGGCCTGCTCAGGGCACCACCCTTGTGCCTGAGAACATTCCAGGGGAAGAAGGCCCCTGGGGTGGGGAGAGAGGGGCTGTAAGAGCCCAGCCAAAGCACTGTGTGGACAGGAGGAGGAGCTCTGTCTTCTGGGAGTAAGTGCCAGATGTGTGAAAGGGAGCAGCCAGGAGGGTCAAGGCCAGGAAAATCCCAGACTCCTTGGGAAGGCCTTAGATGCTGAACAAGAGCTGGGGCTTCGGCCTGTTGACTGCAGGGAACCACAGAAGGGTCTCGAACTGGAGGACTGTGGTCAGCCTCTCCTGGGGTAATTGTATACTTCCGACTTGCCCCGTGGAGGTTCAAGCCTCATCCTCTCTTCCCCTGCAGAAAAGGTCAGAAATTGGGTTGGGCTGGCCCGGCTCTGATAACTTTGATCTTCTGTCTCCAGAGAGATCTTGGTGGAGGAGAGCAACGTGCAGAGGGTGGACTCTCCAGTCACAGTGAGTACCCACCGTCCCTCCACAGCCTAGCTTGGTCTTTTAGGCCCATGGACATCCTCCTTAGTCTTGCGGGCTCCAGGGTCTACCCCTCATCCCTGGGCGCCCCATCTTGAAGAGAGCCTTGCTAGAAGAAATGGCGGTTGTGGGCCTGGTCTTTGGAGTCACTGGAGGGATGCTCTTGGCCTGGGCAGAAGGACTCTTTAATTTGGTGAGTGAGTGCACTCCACGTGCTCCTGTGTGTTACTAGTGACTTTATTCTGGGTGCCTGGAGGGGAGTAGGCAGAGGAGGGGGTCAGGTCCTCTGGGAGCTGCAGGTCTAGCTGGAAAGAATTGCTCTAGCTCGTGCCTACAGAATAGTTGGCACTCAGAGTGTGATGGGGGCATTGGGGTGGGAGAGTAGATTTTCGACTCCGGGAAGCTGAGGCTTTCAGTCAAAGGAAGATCTCCTGGAAGAGGAAATGACAACCAGCTCCAGTATTCTTACCTGGAAAATTCCGCAGACAGAGGAACCTGGTGTGCTGTAGTCCATGGGGTTGCAAAGAGTCGGGCATGACTGAGCACGTGCACACACGTGCATGCATGTACACACACACACTTTCTCTCTCGGCTTAGCCGAGACTGATAAGGATCTTCTAAAGCAGGGACTTCCAGGCAGCTCTTGCCCTCTGAGATGGCCCACATTCTGTCTGTGGAGTGTATTTCTCTAAATAAATCCATTTCTTACCCATAAATAAATGAAGCCAAGGCTTCCCTGGTGGTCCAGTAGTTAAGACTCTGTGCTTCCACTGCAGGAGTTGTGGGCTTCTGGGTTTAATCCTTGGTGGGAATTAAGATCCCATGTGCCATGCAGTGAGGCCAAAATTTTAAAAAAGCAGTAGGGTGTTTTTGAAGGACAGCCCCTGGCAGCATAGGCTTTCAGACTGAGTTCTGACTTGTCTTCTCACTTCCAGGTATGTGGTGACATCCATGGACAATTCTATGACCTCAAGGAGCTGTTCAGAGTGAGTGTGGGGAAATGCCAGGAAAGGTGACCCAGGGGATGGCTGCAAGACCCCTTTAGTTGAGAGTGGAAACTTTGGTGAGTGGGTTGGGGATCAGAGGCTTCTAGTTAGGTAGGCTCATTGTGAAAGAAGGGTCTCGACTTGACTGAAGATGGGCCACTACAGTGAGTTGGGGAGAGTTTAGGACCAAGCTAAATCTTCTTTCTCCCTCCCCAGGTGGGTGGCGATGTCCCTGAGACTAACTACCTCTTCATGGGGGACTTTGTGGATCGTGGTTTCTACAGCGTTGAAACGTTTCTCCTGCTGCTGGCACTTAAGGTGGGACCCCCTGGCTTCTGGAGCCAAGACCTCGGTCACATCTGGCCTGACCTGCCTGCATCCTTTCTGCCCTCATCTCCTGCCCCACCCGCCCCCAACTCTTGAGCTGCGCTGTTGTTGATGGACTGTTTCGGCTTGGGTGGTCAGGCAGCTTTCCTTGACTTGGGGGCATCTGATGAAATCAAGGTGGGGGTGGCATCGTAGCCGGAGGGAGGAGAGGCTCATTCTGTTCAGAAAGTGGCACGGAGTATCCACTGGTGGGAGAGAGGTTGTAAGGGGCCAGATGACAAGGTGCACTAAATATTTTGTAAGGGCTTGGTCCGTACCTGGTGGATGAAGGAGGGACCGTTAGGTTTGTAGTTGAAGTGGGGGGATGGGAGGGAGTGTGAGAGGATTCAGCTTTGCATCCTTTGGAGGAGGGACGGGGAACCTGTGAGGTGAGTGTGACACGATTTGTGCAGAGATGATCGGAATCTGGACTGGAGCAGTGTTGATGAGGGTGGAGCGGGGCTGGCAGACAGGAGGATATGGAGGGAGGGAGGGACAGGCCCTGCATGGTGACTGCCTCCAGGTTCGCTATCCTGACCGCATCACCCTGATCCGGGGCAACCATGAGAGCCGTCAGATTACCCAGGTCTACGGCTTCTATGACGAGTGTCTGCGCAAGTACGGCTCGGTGACCGTGTGGCGCTACTGCACTGAGATCTTTGACTACCTCAGCCTGTCGGCCATCATCGATGGCAAGGTAGGCCCGCCGCGTGGCTCCCTGGGGACGAGAGGGACGGGAGGGACGGGAGGGCTGGGAACGGCGCCAGACCTCAGCTGATCTTGCTCTCCCCGAAGATCTTCTGTGTGCACGGGGGGCTCTCCCCATCCATCCAGACGCTGGACCAGATCCGGACAATTGACCGAAAGCAAGAGGTGCCCCACGACGGGCCCATGTGTGACCTGCTCTGGTCCGACCCTGAAGGTGAGGGCAGGAGCTCTGCTCTTAGTTTGGTGAGTGACCGAGGGGGTCCTGTGGTTAGAGCAGGTGCCTGGAAGGGATGGCCCTGGGCAGGTGAGTTTGGGGCAGAGCAGGGCTGGTCTTCACTGGTATTGGTGCTTGCTGGCCAGTGGGGTGGCATCCTCTATGAGGAGCGGGGATGGGGGTAGCTGAGTGCTTTGAGCTGGGGGAGTGGGGGGAGGTGTACGTCATACCTCAGGAGCTTGTTGAAAGTGAGTCATCGACTTCCTGAATGCGAAGGGACTGCTGGAAGGATCAGGCTCCCAGAATGATAGCCCCCAGAACTTGCCTGCCAGTGCAGGAGATGTAAGAGATGCGGGTTCAATCCCTGGGTCGGGAACATCCCCTGGAGGAGGCCGTGGCAACCCACTCCAGTATTTTTACCTGGAGAATCCCAAGGACAGGGGAGCCTGGTGGGCTACAGTCCGTGGGGTCACAAAGTCAGACGTAACTGAAGTGACTTAGCACGCACACACAAGGACCCCTCATGTTGTGGGCATCAGCTGGTATAGAGCATCGCTGAGATGAGAGCCAAGCCTCCCAGTACCAGTCTGGGGCTCTTGTGCTGTGACACCAGCCTCCACTCCCTCTCTGCCCTGTCCCTACCTCCCCGCCGGCTGGGCTGCCCTGAGTCACAGGTGCCGTCCAGCATGCTTACTGTCAGCACCTCCTTCCACCCTTGTGTGGACCTGTTGGTACAGTAAATTAGACGGTCACTGATGATCAGGTGGCTCCAACTATCAGGAGATTCTTTCTTCTTTGGAGCGTATCCACTTGAGCATTTGCTGTCCTGTCCTGAGGCTTCCTCAGAATACCTTTGGGCCCTGTGCTGTTGCTGCACAGGCCTCCCTGGGGGAGGGCAGCGGGCGGCCCTGAGAACACCCTCACCACCCCTTCCTTCGTTTGCCTCAGACACCACAGGCTGGGGCGTGAGCCCCCGAGGGGCTGGCTACCTGTTTGGCAGTGACGTGGTGGCCCAGTTCAACGCAGCCAACGACATTGACATGATCTGCCGTGCCCACCAACTGGTGATGGAAGGTTACAAGTGGCACTTCAACGAGACTGTACTCACTGTGTGGTCAGCACCCAACTACTGCTACCGGTGAGCTGCCTGGGCTGGGGAGGTTGAGGTAGGGATCCAGGCTGAGCCATTCTGTTAACACTGCTGCCCCCGCCTTCCCCCCGACTTCCAGCTGTGGGAATGTGGCAGCCATCTTGGAGCTGGACGAGCATCTCCAGAAAGATTTCATCATCTTCGAGGCTGCTCCCCAAGAGACACGGGGCATCCCCTCCAAAAAGCCCGTGGCCGACTACTTCCTGTGACCCCTTCGGCCCTGCCCCTCTCCAGCCCCCGGACCACTGTGACTCTGCCCTCTTCAGACGGAGGCTGGGCATGGGGGGGGCTGTCCCCGGCTTTGCTCTCCCTGCAAAAGAGGGCACTTCGAGGGTGAGGACTTTTCTGGAGAGGCTGGGAGCCTCAGTTCCATGCTCCTCCTCCCATCTCCCCACTTGAACCATGAAGTTTCCAATAATTTTTGGTTTTCTTTTTTTCCCTTTTTTTTTTTTTTTTTTTTTTTTTAGATAAAAATTTTGAAAAAAAAAAAAAAAAAAAAAAAAAAATTCTAATAAAAGAAAA